CGAAGTACATACAGGAGCAAGCCTCCTGCAAGGGTATGGCCCTGGGGACAGAGTTCAAGGACTCTCGTCCCCGAAGTACATACAGGAGCAAGCCTCCTGCAAGGGTATGGCCCTGGGGACAGAGTTCAAGGACTCTCGTCCCCGAAGTACATACAGGAGCAAGCCTCCTGCAAGGGTATGGCCCTGGGGACAGAGTTCAAGGACTCTCGTCCCCGAAGTACATAAGGGGCAAGCCTCCTGCAAGGGTATGGCCCTGGGGACAGAGTTCAAGGACTCTCGTCCCCGAAGTACATACAGGAGCAAGCCTCCTGCAAGGATGCGGCCCTGGGGACAGAGTTCAGAGACTTCTGTCCCCGAAGCGAATGCAGGAACAAACATCCATAAAGAACATGGTCCTGGGAGCGAAACACAAGCATTCCAGTCCCCAAGGTTTCCAGTCCCCAGGTTGATACAAGATCTTGCCTCTGGAACGGGCCAGCACGCCCCGAAGACAGTTCGAAAACACTTGTGATTTATACTACACAGAGATAAAGAAAAGCAAAGTACTACTGTATACAGAAGAAGACAGAAAAATGAAAAGGCTAGTTATTTATTTCCAAAAGAAATAGGGGCTTTGCGTCCCCGAAAGCTACAAAAGGAAAGCAAAAGGGGTACAAAAAGGGGAAGTAAAAAGCAGCTTCATCGGGCTCCAGGCACCTCCAGAACTTCGGCCGAGGGCGAATCAGCGATAAATGGTTGGGAAGCTTCTGGAGCGGGCAGGAGAAGAACTTCAGCAGCAGGAACAGCTGGAACAGTTTGAGCAGCTTGAGGTTCTAGGGCAAGGTCGGACGGAGCGTCCTCGGACAAGTCCACTATCACCATCTCGGGAGCATCAGCCGAGGTTTGCATCGGTGTAGGGGCTTCATCCTCGGCAGCAACCTGTGCTTCTGCCTGCTCCATCTCTGCCGAGGGCACATACTTGTGCACTTGGAAGAGAGGGGAGTCTGACGGGACTCCAGCAGCCTGGAGCGCCTCGTCCCACCCTTTCTTGAAGAACTCTTTGCTATTTTCTTCAAGAGCGGGGAGCACGTCATCGGCAAACTCCTCCAGAAGTTGTTGCTCCGACTTCCGGTTCAGCTCCTCGGCTCTGATCCTATCTAGCTCCTGGGTAAGGGCCAGGCAGCTTTCCTCGGAGCCCACTGCCCTCTCCTCCGCCGCAGAGAGCCGCTGCGTTTGCTCAGTAATCCTCCTCTCAGCATCGGCAAGTGCGGCACTTAGCTTCTCAGCGCCCGACTTGGCCGATTCAGCGTCCTTGAGGAGTTGCTCTATTTGGGCAGCCTGCCCCACCAGGGTAGAATCCCTGGCAGCAACATCTTCCGTTGCCCGAGCAAGGGCAGCTTCCGCTTCCGCCTTCTGATCCTTGGCCCTCTGAAGGTCCATCCTGGACGCATGGTACCGACCAGCAATGATAGAAATCTGCTGGGTAGCCTGCAAAGGAACAAAGAAGTGTTGATCGCAAAAAATAGAAAAACGAGAGTGAAGGGATCAAAACAGGAATAAACTCACCACCAGGGAATTCTGGATCATGGAGCGGAACAACACGTTGGTTGATCGCCCCCTATGAGCCTCCATGTCGGCCTCGAAATGCAGTGTCTCACTCACTGCATTAGCGACATGAGGATCCGACAGAATAGAATCATCGACCCTGATCACTCTGTTCATGTGATCAGTGGCTCGGGGATTCCACTCTGCGGCCTCCCCCCGAGGCGGAACGGGAGGAGGGGTCTGCTGTTGTTGTTGTTGCTGCTGCTGCTGCTGTTGCTGTTGTCGAGGCTGCTGTTGTTGTTGCTGTTGTGGGGGAGCAGGCGGTAACCCACGATCCCTCCCGCTTTGAGGTTGAGCGGGGGATGCCCTGGGTCCCCGGCTGAGGCCGTCGTGCCGATGCTTCACCCTCCTCTCCTCCTCCACCTGAGGGTCCCGATCTCGCACCTGACCCCGATCAGGAACCCTTGATGATGGGCAGAGCTGGTTCCTGCCGGAGTACCGCCGGCCGTCCCTCGGCCTCTCCCGGCTGCGAGGGATTGCCTCTGCCTGAGAAACCCCAAATTGATGCGAGGGGCGTTGGACATCGCTTCCTCGAGAGCGTCTTCGGCGTCCAAAGATTGGAGAATTTGAAAATCAGGCCACAAGTCGCCTCCCGAAGTCCCCACCTCGGCGTCCGAAGGAGCAACGTCCTCTCTGACCCCGACCTCAGCAACTCCTTCTACCTCTCCCTCTGAAGCCCGATCCGGGTCTTCCTCCAAGTTCTGCTCGACCTCTAGCCTCGCCGCCTGATCAAAGAGCTCTGACCACTGCGAAGGCTCGAAAGGTTGAGGGAGCTGTGAGAACTTCTTATACCCGGGGGTATAGTGCAGCAGATTATGGGCAGCTCGGCCAAATCCGTCGACGCCCGTGAAACTCCAAACCGTTATTAGGTCGGCAAAATTGACCAGCGACCGAGGGGGTGGAGCTGTTTCCCGAGAAGGAATACCTGCACAACAAAAAAGATTGTCATGAACATGAGAAGTCCCAAGAAACAAATAAAGAACCCAAAGGAACCGACGTACTTGTCGTTCTCCATTCCCGAGGGCAAAATAAGTCATTGTACTCGGGACCGACACCCCTCTCCCAACATCCCTTGAAGATCAAGATGTCGTCCTTGTACCCCTTGTCCGAGTCAGGAAGATGGGTTACAAGGTACATGGAGGGGTCCCTGGCTTTGAGGTAGAAATGTTGGTGGGGCATGACTCTTAGGAGGGAATAACAGAAAAGAAGATCATTGAGCCCAATATTCACCCCGAGGCGCCTATTGAGCTCTAGGACCCCCATAATTATCCGAAAGACGTTGAGGCAGCATTGCCCGGGGAAGAGACGGAAGCGAGACAGGAACTGAAGGAGCAGGGGGGTAAAGGAAACCTAATACCACCCTCTATGATGGCCTTGGTATAGAAAGGCATGGCATCCGCGGCCCCGAAGGTAGGAGAGTTCAACAAGGGTTAAAGCCCACTACGTCCACGCTCGGGGGGATGCCATACTTCGCCCTGAACCTATCGATCTGCGCCTCGCCTGTCACCTTGTATTTCCCTGACCCCGAGGGACCAGCCGATGGATTCTCGGGAACAGGGCGACGACGAGGCATCTCTAAAAGAAAGGGAAGGAAAAGGTGTTCTCTCTTGAAAACCTGAGGAAATTCCCCGAGGGTTTAAATCAAGACGTACCGACCGGATGACACCACCGTTCAAATCGGAAAACAAGAAGGCTAGGAGGACGATAAAGAAGAAGGTTGTGAAACTCACCAGAAGACGTCGGAAACGAAGTTTTTTCAGGAAAAACTTTGAAAATGACTCGCACCGGAAGGACCAGGAGTCAACAATGGGTTTTACTGGCTGAGGTTTTAAGAGAAGGTGCTGTCGACTATGGCTGAGGAAACAAAAACTCCGGCGAGCAGATCAGAAAGGGCGTATTCTGGGTCAGAGATCGGAATGGCAAAACGAAGGAAACCGGAGAAGAACCCCCTTTATATAGGGGGGAAACTGTCATCATTGGGCGGGAGAACCAAAACAGCGCATTTAATGCGCACGACGTCCCAAGCAGGGGAAAGCTACTCGAGGCCATAATGAAGGACGGATGGCAGTTGGAAAACCCTTCGTCTCCTTACAACGCGTGTCCTCGGTGTCAGAAGATCGAAGGCTGGGGGGCAGTTGATGGGACTCTTCTGAAAAGCCCTAAGATGAAGACACGTGTCCTCGGGGTTTTGGGAACAGTGTTGCCCGGATGTAAGCACCATCGGCAAAGAACGTCCTTTACCCCCGAGGTACCTCTCATATAGGATCACACATTTCGGTGTATTATAAAACAAACACGTGCCCTTGGTCACCGCGTACCTCGGGGGAACATACCACCCTCGGTCCCCGAGGAGATCCTGTCCTCGGTGCCGAGGGTCACTCCATCCTGGACGCTTCCTCTATTCCCGGATAAAGCTACTGACGTACTGGACATCAGCCTATGCCAGTCTGGACTATTCATCATGACCTCTTCTTACACAAGTAATGTCAGAACGTTCTGGAATACCGACGTAACAGCCAATAAGGGATGGACGCGTGGCAAATAATGTCACATCCGAAGCAGACAAACCACATGCCGCTGCTGGCACGCGACTTGGGAAAGCAAACAATTAATTGCACCCTTCTGTTGACGAGACCGCATTCAATGCGGTAAGGTTCGGATATGAAAGGTAATAAATGCTCCTATTACAGAGCATTTATTGCATCCTTCCCGAAAGGAGCATATTGTACCGTCGGCGTCCCGACAACTCAGCATTGATTGCTCGGGACCCCGAGCAGTCAATTAGAGAAGACATTCCTCATCAAATGATTACACACGCTACCTGTGCCTGATAATCACCTACTGACCACACTGACAGCAATCATGAGCTTCTAAGGTATAAATACCCCACCCAAAAGGCAAAGCGGGTATGCAATCACAAACTCTCTACTACGAAATATCCTTCTCAGTGTTTTCTCCTTCCTCTCTCTCATTCAAAGACTGACTAGACCGTCGGAGGGGATACGCCGGAAAACACTCCGGCGCCCTTCTAACTTGTTCTCCTTTGTTCCAGGAAATACCTTTCACACGTACAGGATCGTTCTTCCTTTCCCACGGCCTTCCTTTGCCGTTCCAGGTTGCCACCGTGCCTCGAAGGTTGTTTCAAGCAGCGTGTTTGGCCACTCAACCGGCTCACTCAGAGTTCACCAGGGGAGAGATCTGTTCCCAATATTTTATATATCGTGCAGGATCGAGCCCGCACAGAAAGTATCAATATCATCAATTGGCATATTGACAGCCTCAATCACATTATGCTTCAAATTTCGGCTCCTTGCATGTTTATCAACTGTGGTAAAGAGTGGTACAAAATGTTGAAATAAAGGAACTACTTAGACATTTTGTACTGCTTTCAGTATGAATTCATGTAACTGTGAAGTTTAGGAGTTTCCTATGACATAGACAAACAGCTTACATTTGCATTTTTCCCCAGAATCTCCACCAGAAGAGGTCTGGCAAGCTGCTGCTGAATTTGGCATTTTCTCCAATAGGGTACGCAGTGAAGGAGAACGTAAAAAGTTTCTAGAAGCAATTGCAGCAGCTGATGTAACTGAATTATAATCTTGGTCAATGATCTCGTCAACACCACTTACAGCTGGGAAATTTAACTCTTCAGTATCACTTGTCAACAGAGAAAGTTCCTCCTCCCTAATAATATACAGAACACGTCTCACAATATTCCCAATAGCAAGCTCTGCACTTCCATCAGTTTGGCATGTGTTAGACCTATTATAGGACGTATGCAAATTCTGTATGTGTACACACACTCAAAGTAAAATTGTATGTATTTGACCAATGTACAGAAACATCTTAAAGAAGTGTATTTGTATCAAAGCCAGCAGTGATGCATGGATAGAAGTCAGGCTGTGTTGGCAATATGCATGAAAATGTGGTCTCACACATTTGGACCTTACAATAGAGTTTATATGGAGCACTAAAACTACAGAGTTGTGTGTGTGTATATATATATATATATATGATTGCAATGCCATGCATACATGTCTCTGACTTGGTTTGGGGAGGGAGGATGACGGAAAGGTCGCGTGTGTGTGTGTGTGAATATCAATAAGTTATCTCGCAATTGATTTGAGTGGTCTGGGGTTGTGTAAGAGCTTGGGGTTTCAAGTCTTGGAGGACTCGTATGTGTACATATAATATATTTAGAAGGTCTTGAACTCGTGCTTCTTACTTATCTTCACAACCGCCCAGACCAAGTAAGCTACAGCTTGTCGGTTCTTATATCTTATGGATATTTGTTAACATTACAATACACGTATGCCTCTTTGTAAAAATAATTGTTTGGATACACACAAAAAGAACAAGAGGTGTGTGTGGTATTCCAAGGAAGTATCCATGAGTTTCAGAGAACAGCATACTGAAATTAAGCATGAGTATCTAGATATCAAGTTTGGAGCAGTAGTCCCTTCAGCGAAAATTCAAAGCCACAGCAGTTGAGACAGCATTGTTGTATTACAGTAAATAGCACCAGGATATCCATTTAACTATGGCACACCTACTCACATCTTGGTCTCAATAAGAAATTTAGCTTTGTTTTCAGATGGCACCCTCTGCTATGAAATCACCCATTGAAGAATTAGATAAATGAGGTATTTGAAGCAAAACTATATGTACCTAATGCTGAACATTATCTTCTGAAGATGTCCTCTTCACAACTGAAACAATATGGCTTACAGTAAACAATAGATGCACCCACAAAAGCTACCTAAAAAATGTGGAGTAAGGTCTTTGTTTTTGTCCTGAAGAGTATGGTCTTTGTAAGCATAATTCAGCCTATAGAAATTGCCCAAGTCGTTCGTAAGACTAGTTGCTGGAACAAGAGAGGTATCTCTGAGGGAACTCGTGAGCAGCAATTCTGTGCTCAAATTCCTATTCAGAGGGGTGGGGGATACTTAAGTCTATCCACTGAATGAGACATGAAACTAGGCCTATCATCGATTAGGATATCATTTCGAAAAATAAAATCATTGGAATTTGCATCCAAATCAAGACAAGCATATCTCTAAAAGCAATCACATTAGCAAATTTTTTTCCTACAAAATGTTTTAAGTACGTATTTTTCCATAATCTCATCGAAACCTTCTAAGAGCTGAGATGATGCCTGTATGAATCCCTCTCCCACTGTCTATATCACATTTAAATATATTTGGTTCGATGTAGAGAGGGAAAAGAGAAAAATGAGTTAATTTCTTGATGGCATGCCTACAACGCAAACTAAACACAGGCTTAAATACAATTTCACCTTTTGAATTTCTGTCAGCTTTATTTGATAGCACATCAAAAACTAAATCAAATTAAAAAAATCAATGCAAGGGCATTCTGGGAATGCCATGTCTATCCCTGAACATCACAAGGAGTAGAAAGTTCATTGAAGGGTACAAATATGTTAAAAATACTAAAATCACTCATGACAGGGGTTTGTTGGCCACCACAAGAAAATTCACAATTCAGAAACCTTACAGAAAAAGTACATAGGTTTTTTTCAACTCCAATAAATTCAAGAGATTGATGGTAAATCCTGGTTAGTTTTTGTCCCACTTCATTTCTACTCCTCTCGTATAAATTATACAGCAACTACATGCACCACTACTCATCTGCTGCTAAATAGTAATGGTAAATAACGAAAACCTCATACCCATAGAAAATCAATAACCTTATATGACTTTCTCTTGCATCCAATGCCCAGGAGGTAAAATAACATTATTTGTACAGATTTGGTATTGCGGATAATGGAAACATAAAGCCAGAAAGTGGAATATGGATAGAAGAAAAATAATCCAAATTTGTCAGTGACATAATTTGCAACAATGATTTGCCATAAAACCACATTCTTTTATATGAATGAACATAAGGGTTTTCACAAAAAAAACATCCAAATAAATGAGCATTCGAAAATGTAACTTGCAAACAATTACTAGCACCCAAAATACATGAAACCTGTAGTTTGCGTCAGTGATTGACGTCTATGGCATTCAAACTCCCGAGATATACTTATTTATCAAGAGAAACTGAGAGGATGCATACCAACAGGATTCGCGGCAATTAATTTCTCTCCTATACCCCTCACAGCCTCAATAAGTGCTGCAGCCTGGTTAGTAGGTGGCAGTTTGTGTATTGAAATTACAGACCTAAGCAACTCTGCTGTAAGCCGAGCAGTCGCCTGCGATCCTTTGACCTTATTGGAACCACAAAATTCAAGGAATGCCACACATAATCAATCAAGTACATAGCAATTGAACTCAACATATAAAAGAAAAAAACTTTTCTGTCAACAACAATGACACAGACTAACTCACCGTTTGTTGAGCTTGGCTACAAACTCATTCACAATCTCCTGAATGTCAGGCATTTTTGAATGTAATGGGGTGTCAGGTTGGTTCCTGGAAAACCAAGGAAAATGAAAGAAAACAATGCAAAAAGACACTATTGTTAACATTTTAATGTATGGATTCTGGGTTTTTTTTTTATTACTCAAATATGAAAATCAATCTCAAGTACAATGTAACTTGAACATTGAACATTTAATTTTTCTTGAATTTTCTCCGCAACCAAACAGGATCACCTCCAACAAGTTCATTACAAAAAAAAAAACGAAGGATTGTCATATATATTTACCTTAAAAAAATAAATCTGATTCTATCAACCGTAAACACTGTAATGAGGATTCAAAGGACTTCGAAACTCCAATAAGCACAAGGGTTTTCAGGGTTTTAGACCTTGAACAAAGGCTTCTTTGAAAATTTTGGTTTCTTCAATTGTTATACAGCAAGGGACTGATTTGTTAAACTTTAGGGGCGCGCTTATTCAATCACGAATTCATGGAGACCTTTTTAAAATTTTCTTTATTTGATTCGCATTATGAAATGTTAAATGGATTTCGACATTTGATAAAAGAAGAATATGATCACCCCATAATATTTGAATAATGGCATTTGATTCTCCTAACCTTTGAAAAATTACATTGGTCACATAGGTTGTGATCGGTAAAATCAGCAAATAGTGTCAACTTTTGAAATTTAAATAGCATGGTCCTTTTGAAAATCAAGGAGTACAAAGGGGCCCTTAAGATGTAAAATCCAAAATGTGCATGCAACTGCCTCATAACGAACTTAATTAAACTCTAGGGCTGATAATATTACAATTAAAACATAATTCCACTTGGAGAATGGGGACTAATACTCTCCCTACCAGTGAAAATCTTATGCGAAGGAGGATCCGGACGGATGACATATGTTGTGTTTGTGGAAAGGAAGTTGAAACTGTGATACATATGATGAAAGAATGGGCTTGGGCCAGCAATTCATGGGAATCCAGTCCACTAAACTATCTTGCAGCGCCATATAGGCCAAATCTATAATTGGCTGTGAGAAATGTCACAGCAAATGAACCCATATCAATTCTCCCTATTCTTAGTCCATTGTTGGTTAATTTAGAGGAATAGAAACGAAGTGCTATTTCAGAATTTGAAGAGGGACCTGTGTCATTAAGTTATAAGGCAACCGAATATATCATACAATATGAACAATCAGTGGAGTCCATTGTCTTGGCACCAGCAATAGCAGACACCGCCTTTCTGTGGTTTCTCCCAAGTATGCGCTCTTTAAAAGTTAATTTTGATGGAGCCGTGTTCGAGGTAGAAGGAGCGAACGGAGTAGGCTTGGTAATAAGAGACAAACGAGGTATTTTTGTTACTGGCTTGTCTAGGAAAGTCATCTCCCCCTGTGTGGCACAAACAACATAAATTTTAGCTGCTAGGGAGGTTGTCCGCTTTGTTGTGCAACAAGGCTATGATGGAATTGTTTTGGAAGGGGATTCCACTAACGTGATGAAGACGCTCACAGATGTAGACAATGATTTTGATCCCTTGGGCTCTATTTTAGCGGATAACATATTTAGTTTACGTTCTTTTCAATGTTATTATGTATCTACAGTTAGAAGAACATGGTATAAGGTAGCTCATAAGCTAACTAGACACGCTATTAATGTTGATTGTGTGGTTGTATGGGAGGAAGAGGCACTATCTTTCATTGTGCCCCTCCTCCTCTCCGATATTCTTATTTAATCGAATTCCTACTGTTTCTATAAAAAAAAAAACATAATTCCACAATTAAGTTCCGAAATTAAATATTAATCTTCAATCCTACTAACCAGCAAAAAAAAAAAAAAATCTTCAATCCTTCTATGTTTTACATTCCAGTTGTTTCGAGTTAATATATTTTGGCTCCATTAGTAATTTAACATTATGGTACTAAGTTTTAGTGTTATTTATCACAATGTGGCAAAATTTCAAATTTTATTATCGATTTACTGTACTTTGGAACTTATTTAACAAATTACGATACATTTTAAAAGCGGATTGAACAAATTTATTTTCATTAGAGTACATATTCAATAACTCCACTTTCAATATAAAACGGAGTCAACAACTCCTATTTTTAAATAATAATAAAAAGTGTGATCTAAATACGAAAATTTGTGGGCTACAGATTAAAAATGTGTTTACTAAACAGACTTTTAAGCAAAAGTAAAACAAAAAATGTGTTTATTAAACACTCTTTTCATTTATTATGAATCTAACTAAATATTGTAGGCAATAGGTGAAAAACGGGTTTACTAAACACACTTCTACAGAAAGGTGTGTTTAGTAAACATGTTTTTCACCCTTTTCATTTGTTATTATCGTAACTACTTATCACATTTTTATTTGAAAGTAGAGTTAATTGTCTTATTAACCCCATTTTCAAACAAAAGCGGGGTTGTTAATTTCATTTTTAAAATGTATCATAATTTAGTAATTGAGTTCAAAAAATGCTATGGATCAATAACAAAATTTAAAATTTATCGCATTGTGATAAATAACTCTCAAGTTACACCTTTTCTCGTTACTTCGCCACAAATTCACTCCCACTGAATTAAATGGTGAAGATTCGGATCTTTTCAACTTCTTTTTTATTTTATTTTTTTGGCAACTTGATCTTCTCAATTTCAAATCTTATTAATTTTATGCTCTATTTGGTATGATAGAAAGTTAGAAGAATGAAAAGTTAGAGAGATAAATAAAACTTTATGTTTGGTAAGAAAGGAAAATAGAAATGATGAATTAACTTTCTTTCCATTTCACCAAAATCAATCCTTCCAAAATCGAAAGGAAAGTGGATGAAAAATTAATTATTTGTGTTGAAATGTTTCTTATTTGTCTATATATCTTTTGATATATACATATATTATGTATATATTAATTTTACATAAAAATATAATGATAAAATATGTACTTATATATATTTTAAAAATAAAAATAAAAATTTTAAATTAAAAAAAAATATATTATTTTTTTTATCTTATCTAGGAGTGAAAATTTTCGACCAAATACGATGACACGACTCGAACTTGACACGGATTTTATGATACGAACTCAATTATAACTCGACACGAACTTAAAAATGACCTGATACGCGAATAAAAAATATAAAAGCTCATATTTAGTTCAACCCGTCAAATTTAAAATCGATATCATCAACTCGTTTATTTAAAAATAAACACTTTCTCTATTTTCTCGTTTGTATGATTATACAAAATTAATACGAAAACAACATGTTTAATTAGTATTATAGATATAAAATGTTAATTATTTGTAACTATTTATTAAGTACTAACATAATTATTATATAACAAAGATATTTTTACTTATTATTATTATTATATTTTATTTAAGTTAATTTTTATTTTGTAGAAAAACTATTAACATGGATTCAATTAAGTGATAATAGAATATTAGCGTTATATTTTTTATTCAAAGTTTATGTGGGTCAACACGAATACGAATACGACACGAAAATAAATAGGTCAATTCGCAACTCGACACGACACAATTAGTTAAATGAGTTGCGTTAGGTTTGACTAATATTCGATACAAACACATAATGACTCAACACAAGTCTGACACGATACGACTCGATTGTCACACATAGTTTTAACCAGTACAAAAAAAAAATTAGTCATTTTTATTTTCTATCCATCATACCAAACACAAAGAAAGAAAAAATATATCATTCTTATCTTTCTTCCTTGAAAGATAGAAAGTTAATATCTCATACTTTTCATCCTTCCTATCAAACGGAGCATTAATTAAATCTTATTATACTATAAAACAATCAAATTAGAGACGGAGGCATTGAGAAAGCTTCTTTCCCTAAATGTTAATTTACTAGAATTTTGAAATATTTAATTAATTCACTACAATCAAAATATTACAATTTTTTCGTAACCATTTTTACCACTTTTTAAAATTATTTTAAAATTTAAAATTTTAATTATCTTTCTTAATTATTTAAAATATAAATAAATAACATTTTATTATTAATAGAAATTATTCAGAGATATCATGAAAACGAAAAATTTAGAAATAAAATGATAATCAAAAGAGATAATAAATTTTGTACACCGCACTAGATTGCTACTAATTTAATGAAATCATACACCGTCAAATTCAGTGGGATTCATTTGCATGATTTGTGGGTCCGGTTAACACCTATTGCATGTGATTCAATAAATCTACCAGTGAATTATTTGATTTGACATAAAACTAATAAATTTAAAATCAAAAATATCTAAATCCAAAAACCAAACCTCATATGTTACGATAATGAACAGAGGTGTGAATCATATCGTATTTGTGTAGTTCACGTGTCATGTTATTATTATTTGTGTTATATTTGTGTCAAGATCTATAAAAAAAAATTATTTAATTTATTTTGATATTAAATATTAATTTAAATTATTTATTATATATATTTAATAATCGTGTTAATTTTATAATCGTTCGTGTCGGATTCGTATTAAAGTGTCAGAATTAACACCACTAAAAGTGAACACAACTCCAAATTCTCTCCCTCTCTCTCTCTTTAATTGCCATTTTTTTTATGGGTGTCTATCTTTCGTCAATTGCAATTTTTTTATGGGTAAAACATATTGCCATTTGGTGTTAAGTGCTCGTGTGACATGTTTGCCTTATGGCTACCTATTTTAATTATAATAATATTTTTAGATTTAAAACATTAACTTAATCAAATAAAATTAACAGTGAGAGTCCAACTAATGTTAGAACTCACGATCATTTAATGATAATACAAGAATTTTTACAAACACCGGCAAAACCCACTATAAAACGTTGTGTACTGAGTGTTGTCTATTCTGTTATCGAAAAAAGTCTCTATTTATTTAAAAGCTATAACATTCGTTTGCTTGTCAGAGTCGAACTGGCGATGAAATTTCTAGCATTTATATAAACGATGAAATTACTAGCTATTATACAAACGAAATAAATTTTTTTTGTCCTGGTGTAGTTCTCCACAACCTATTACTCTCAAACCACAAATTAATTTTGAACGCCGACAATTAGTGGCGTTTATTAGCCAAAAATTAGTGCTAAATTTAAATTAATCAAGAATTAGTGGCGTTTAATATCTCAAGTAATTAGTGGCATTCATTAAATGTCTATACTTAACAATCACAAACGGCGTTTACTACAAACGCTAACGATTAAACGCCAACTATCACTTTTTTTCTTGTAGTATTCAGAGGCAAAATTGTGTCCTAAAGTACCAAATTCTACTCACTAAAACATCACAGCTTAATCTTCAAATAATTTAGCTTTAATCATGTCAACGATCTTGAAAAATGATCAACCACACTTGAACGGAGACTTGACCTAGACCCTTACGAAAGTTAGCAATGAGAAATTTCTCGCAATGCATGAGAGGAAGCATAATAGAGCGATGCCACCCACAGATCCTCAACTTCTTTTCCCAGAAAAAGGGAGAAAGAAGTAGAAAATTTGAAAAAAAACCTTTTTTTAATGTTTTATTTAATCTCCGGACCTTCCACTTTTAAATTTCAAGTAAATTTATCGTCTATATTTATGCGATCTTCTTCTAATCTCTAGCTTTAATTTATTTAGTTTGGAATGAAATGGTCTCTTTTCCATTAGATAATAATGTCATCAAGAATAGTGCAACATTTATTGTCACCAATGTTGAGTGTAAAAAAAGTGACAACAAGGGAATAAAAAAAGAGAATCGCATTAAACTCATGGGCTTGGTTTTATTTCGAGACTGACTAACGTTTGTGTATGAATATTAAAATGTTGTCCTGGTCACTACGCCTAGTCTATCTTTTAAGCAATGACTCATGCCCCATGGATAAGTCTATCCAAGAATCCTAAATTTTTCAAGAATTGGATTCTCACCAATGTTTGAATTACTAGAGTCAATATTTGTACAACTCGAGCCCATAAATCAAAAGTTATATATATGGAACAATTGGGTAACAAGAATCTCATACAGAGATGCCCATCACTATAGAGGGAGGAATAAATGTTTGCTACCTAAACGGTCGATTTTAATCAAATTAATCATCTAGCGCAAAAATATATTGAACTCGACAGAAATTTATAGGTATTATTGATGTCAGTTTTTATTAATTGAATCAAATGAACCGAACGATGAATGACAGATGTTGCAAGCAAAGATATTAAGGAATAGAAATATTTGTATTTATAGTAAATTGGGGATGGGGACAAACATCTAAAGCAGAATAAGTGAACACATATGAGAATAGGTAGGGAGAGATTTAGCTAAAACAAACGTGAAAAATTTTCCACGTACTAACGATGGGAATTAATATAGGAATAGGATAGTAGTGTCATTAGACTCTCGTTACTTCTGCACAGATGCATTCTTGTATGTCTGTCTATTTTCATGCAACGTTTTCAGGGATGTCCAATTCCACCACCACCTCCGCCACCAAATCCACCACCTCCGCCACCAAATCCACCGCCTCCACCCCCACCTGCTCCTCCACCAAACCCACCGCCAGCACCTCCTCCTATACCTCCACCAATTCCGCCACCTTTGCCGAATCCTCCGCCGACTCCACCACCAGAGCCACCTCCTATTCCACCACCAGCACCTCCACCAACCCCACCACCTTTTCCGATTCCTCCACCACCACCTTTTCCAAATCCTCCACCGGCGCCCCCACCACCTTTTCCATGCCCACCACCTACTCCACCACCTTTTCCAAATCCTCCCCCAGCTCCACCACCTACTCCTCCACCAGCTCCCCCTCCAACTCCACCACCCTTACCAATGCCTCCACCAACACCTCCCCCAGCTCCACCACCTACTCCTCCACCAGCTCCTCCTCCAACTCCACCACCCTTGCCAATGCCTCCACCAGCCCCTCCCCCAAATCCACCGCCTCCACCACCTCCCCCTCCCTTGCCACCACCTTTTCCAAATCCTCCACCGGCGCCCCCACCAACTCCACCACCTTTTCCATGCCCACCACCTACTCCACCACCTTTTCCAAATCCTCCCCCAGCTCCACCACCTACTCCTCCACCAGCTCCCCCTCCAACTCCACCACCCTTACCAATGCCTCCACCAACACCTCCCCCAGCTCCACCACCTACTCCTCCACCAGCTCCTCCTCCAACTCCACCACCCTTGCCAATGCCTCCACCAGCCCCTCCCCCAAATCCACCGCCTCCACCACCTCCACCTCCCTTGCCACCACCTTTTCCAAATCCTCCACCGGCGCCCCCACCAACTCCACCACCTTTTCCATGCCCACCACCTACTCCACCACCTTTTCCAAATCCTCCCCCAGCTCCACCACCTACTCCTCCACCAGCTCCCCCTCCAACTCCACCACCCTTACCAATGCCTCCACCAACACCTCCCCCAGCTCCACCACCTACTCCTCCACCAGCTCCTCCTCCAACTCCACCACCCTTGCCAATGCCTCCACCAGCCCCTCCCCCAAATCCACCGCCTCCACCACCTCCACCTCCCTTGCCACCACCTTTTCCAAATCCTCCACCGGCGCCCCCACCAACTCCACCACCTTTTCCATGTCCACCACCTACTCCACCACCTTTTCCAAATCCTCCCCCAGCTCCACCACCAACTCCCCCTCCAACTCCACCACCTTTACCAATGCCTCCACCAACCCCCCCCCAGCTCCACCACCTACTCCTCCACCAGCTCCCCCTCCAACTCCACCACCCTTGCCAATGCCTCCACCAGCCCCTCCCCCAAATCCACCGCCTGCACCACCTCCAACTCCACCACCCTTACCAATGCCTCCACCAGCCCCTCCCCCAACTCCACCACCCTTGCCAAATCCACCGCCTGCACCACCACCAACTCCGCCACCCTTGCCAATCCCACCGCCAACTCCACCTCCCTTACCAAATCCACCACCTGCACCACCTCCAACCCCGCCACCCTTGCCAACTCCTCCACCTTTTCCAATTCCACCACCGGCTCCACCACCAACACCATGCCCGCCTCCCAGACCACCACCACCACCAGCTCCTCCACCTACTCCACCACCAATCCCATGCCCGCCACCGAGCCCGCCGCCACTACCCCCACCAAACCCACCCCCACCCCCACCCCCACCACCACCACCAGCTCCACCCCCATATCCACCTCCAAATCCCCCACCACCTCCAGCTCCTCCCCCATATCCACCTCCAAACCCTCCACCACCACCACCTCCACCTCCAACGCCAAACCCACCTCCGTTACCAATACCCAGAAACTTCTCCTCGTCATCATGCCCCACCACATCTCTACCCACCACCACACTCACCACAAGAAGAAAAAAGCAAAGCCATGACAAAACTCCAACTCGCACTGCACCTCGTATCATCTTTGCTTGAACAATACTCAGAAATCTCTGCAACTCTCCACTGCTCTTTCATTTAGAGCATGAGGGTTTTTATACACTATTTCTAAGCCTCTCCTACTTTCATCCTCAGTTTGATTTGCATTAAATGGTCTCAGCTACCAACTGATCTCCACATTTGGATAGAATGCTTACAGTTATAATCACGCGTTGTACATCTTTAATGGATGTTTTGCTTTTGAGTAATGATAACATAAATTTAATAAAATTTAATTTTTAAATTCACGTAACATTTTCTTTTACTTTTTCCCATAAAGCCTCCGGAGCAAACGGGAAGATCTGACACCTATCTTCTCCCTCACATGGCTGTGATCTGCGATGATTCATAGACTTGTTCACTCTGGGGCTCTGTAGTAGGTATTTAGTACGTGAAACGTATATATATCATGCATCCGAGGAAGACTACATTGATGAATTCGGTACTATATTAAAAATGCAAAAAGTAGAAAAATTATACTCAGTAAAAATCTGTGATCTATTGTAAAGTTTACAGCTTTTAAAAAAAAATTATAATTAAATAAGTGCATTCATCATCTATCACAAAATTTTATGATCAATCATGCATATTATAATACATTTGCTGTGTAAAAGTAGGATTTCAATTATGCCGAATGTCATTTAAACTTAAAATTTATCTAATTTGTTTACCTACCTGATGGTAACATAGTTCAATATAATATATGACACGACTCTTTATATATCTTTTATACACGATATGAATCCGATATAACATGACTCACTAGAGACAAATTAATAAACAAATCCGATATGAGGTGAATATTTTTTTAATATAAACTCGCTAATACCCGATATAAAGCTACGTCACCCGACACAATTAACAGCACTATGCAAGGGGTAAACCTATGACCTATCCTAATTGGTAAGCAACTTGCAAGGTAAATAGAAATTAATTACATGTTATGCGTGGTTAGAGAGCTTTTGACCCATCTTATGATCTTTTAAAAAAAGTCTCAAATAAAGGTGGGTTTCAAAATATTTTTCAAACTCATGTCATTTTAAAACGTCAATTGGTTTGACGTTTTTAAGTCAAAAGACGTTAGTTAATTTGACATCATTAACTTAAAAACGTCAGATCAATTGACATTTTTAAACTTATTATAGGTCCCAATTTACTGTTTAAACACGGCAATTGGACTGACGTCTTTAAAAGAAGCGTCAGTCCAAATGACGCGTTTGTTTTAAAATCTGACCGCCTCAGACCAAGCCCACAAAGTCCATATAACTTAAAAAGACCGCTGTCTTCGTGCCTAAATAGAAAAATTATATTAATATTTATCACAAATATTGTCATCACGTCAATGAATGTTGCTTCCATATATGCCTATTTTAAATTATTATAAGTGACTCCTATTATTTTCTCTCGGATTTTAATATAGTCCCAAAAATTTTAATTTTTTTAATTTAATTCATCAATTATCAATTTTATTTCAATTAAATCATTGATAGTTGAGAGACTAAAATAAGACAAGTGAAAGTTAATTGATTAACTTGAAATTGGAGATAAAATTCATGACTAACTATGAAATTTACCGTATTTTTTTATAAAATATTACAAAAGCATCAAATAAATATAATTTTTAATCAATTTCTAATTAATTTTAATTTCTAAAAATGTTTTGCTCCCTCTCTTTTTTAAAGGATGATTTTTTATTTATTTATTTAAAAATTTAATTACATTCAATAAATAAATTTTGATAATTTAAATATACTTATATTTTTTAGCATATGAAACTTAAAAAATTGGAAAACTTATACATATAATTAATTTTTTTATTATATAATTATAAATGCATACATAAAATAAAAATAAAATTTTATTTGTAATGTTGATCATGTCGACATTAATATTTATTAAGCTGTGAAAAAACATAAGTTATTCAGAACGTGTACATGTTAAAAAAAGATGTCAACAATGTGATTGGTATTCAAACAACATAAAGGATTATCGAGTACACATAAACATGATGGGATAAAAGTGTCAGACGCATCATCATCTCAGTCAGAGAAACGTTAATGAGCTTTCTGATTAATGTTAGTGGGGTTATATATATCATGAGCTTTCTGATTTCTCTGATTGGAACGATGATGCGTCTGACACTTTTATCCCATCATGTTTATGTGTACTCGATAATCCTTTATGTTGTTTTGAATATCAATCATGTTGTTGACATCCTTTTTTAACGTGTACACGATCTAAATAACTTAGGTTTTTTCACAGCTTAATAAACATTAATGTCGACATGATCAACATTGCAAATAAAATTTATTTTTATTTTATGTATGCATTTATAGTTATATAATAAAAAAAATTAATTATATGTATACGTTTTCAATTTTTTAAGTTTCATATACTAAAAAATATAAATATATTTAAATTATCAAAATTTATTTATTGAATGTAATTAAATTTTTAAATACATAAAAAAATCATCGTCTCAAAAAGAGAGGGAGCAAAATATTTTTAGAAATTAAAATTAATTAGAAATTGATTAAAAATTATATTTATTTGATGCTTTTGAAATATTTTATAAAAAAAATACAGTAAATTTCATAGTTAGTCATGAATTTTATCTCTATTTTCAAGTTAATCCATGAACTTTCACTTGTCTTTTTTTAGTCTCGCAACTATCAATGATTTAATTCAAATAAAATTGATAATTGACGGATTAAATTAAAAAAATTAAAATTTTAGAGATTACATTAAAATTCGAGAGAAAATGATAGGAGTCACTTCATGATAATTACCCAAATAAATATTAATTTTTTTTATTCAAGCATTAGATTTTTATTCAAGATTTTTTTTATTTTTTTATCCAAGCATTTTCGACTAATGTCCTTTTAGTTAATAAAATAGGCATATGTGGATGCTGCATTCATTGGCGTGATGACAAAATTTGTGATAAATATTAATATAATTTTTTTATTTAGGCATGGAGGCATCAATCTTTTTAAGTTATATGAACTTTGTGGACTTGGTCTAAGGAGTTTAGATTTTAAAACAAACGCGTCATTTGGATTGATGCTTCTTTTAAAGACGTCAGTCCAACTAACGTGTTTAAACAGTATATTGGGTCTAGCTTAAAAACGTCAAACCAACTAACGACTTTTGAAATGACCTAAGTTTGAAAAATATTTTGAAACTCACCCTTATTTGAGACTTTTTTTATTAAAAGACCATGGATGGGTCAAAAGCTCGTGGTTAGAATTTAGTTTTAGTAGCTTGACGGATAAATCGGTAAACCCATTGGACCCATGAAGCAAGTTGACAATACAAACTTGGTTAAATATGTTTTATACTGAACTCGAGTATACACGGTTACAAGGATTTGACTTCGGCATTGTCAAAAAAAATTGGTATCATATCTCCAAATTTACTACTTCAAAACGTGTTTTTATATTTTTTATCATTATTATAAATATTTTTATCACATTTGTAGTAACTATTTTTACCATTTTTTTTAAGTATAAAAAATTTATTATTTTGTGGGTAATTTATTACATTTGTGAATATTTTTACCATTGTTATAGTAGATATTTTTTTTATTTTTTTTGGATATTAAACAATAATAAAAATACTTATAAATATTGATGAGACATTTTCAAGTATTCCAAAATGAAGACACGTGTCATCGGCATCAATAAATACTTGTTACTATAATCACGACACGTACCCGTCGGATCACAAGTCCTGTTCCCCCTAGGTACTGTTCATAGGGATCAATGACACCTCAGTACGTTACGTACCGACACGTATCCCTCGGTCGAATATAGGTACATCGGTCCCTACATGTACCACTCCCCTCGGTACCAATA